TCTAGGCCATACTCGACCGGCATGTCACAAAACCAAAGTGGGCAAAAATCCCACAATCTAAAATAGACGAGATGATTCTCATGATTCCACAAAGGATCAACGAACTCCACGAAGCGAAAGGAAGATCTTCAGTAGCATTGGTTTATGTTTATTGGTTGTAATCTCACATTTTCTTGCTAAACCCACATAACAAGTTAACAACATGTAGCACCTGCACAAAGTGATGTCAGCAGTTGAATTTCTTGTCAGGAGATGGCAATGGGTACTTGAACAGGGCAATTGATGGAATTTGCTAAATGATTAATTGTGAGATTAATTAACAGATTACATTAAATGATTCTTTTTCCTCACATGTGAGTAATCTTCCTATTTGTAGCTTTTATTTGTTTTTTTAAGAAATTTTCAAATTACCATTTGTTTAATATAATATATATCTTCAAGCATAACAACTTAGGATTAAGTTACTTTTTTAATCCTAATTTTTTTACATGAAAATGCATCATACACATAACATAGTAGAGAAAATTGCAACACACTGAAAATATGATTTACATGCCACTTCATGGGCTTCTTCCTACAAGTTTTCACAAAACCAACCTAATAAAGTTAAGTAATCTAATTCTTCATGAGAAATAATTGTTCTTAGGTTATATGTGGTAAAACTAGTAAAGATGCATGTCATTGTGATAAGTAATATATATTTCAGTGATAAAAGAACTGCTCCAATCTTGAAAAATGAAACAGGACAACATTTACTATTTCTCAATAAAACTTGTGATAATACTAGATGATATCTTTGCAGAGATTAAAATTAGTTATAAGGTGGAAATTGAGATATTATAAGAAATATCAATATTAGTAGTATAAATATATATTTTTTATTACAGACTTTTCCAATGTTTTGTACTTGCATGTAAAACTTGAAAATCTATTAACAGCTTTATAAGTATAAAACATCATAAGCTTTTAAGCAAGTTGTTGGTACAGACAAGAAGTTTTTTTAAACAGAAAAATTTAGAAAGAACGTATTACAATGATTTATATGTTTACATTTTAGATATACACTGGAAGAATTGAATCTAGGTAATAAAGACAATGGAAAAAAATTCAAAGGTAAAAAAGACAAAAGAAAACAGTAACAATAACAGATAAGCCAATTATTGAAATTATGTAAACCAAATGAGTTAATAATTAAGCTGTTACTAATACAGTTTTCTAATCAATGGCTTTCCATTATTGTTCAACACTTGCTATTAAACCCTACTGTTCTGTTTATCCTTTCTTATAATTTGTTTGTTTTGTACAATTATATATATATATTTTACCTTTTTACCTGCTTGTCTTTTTTACCCTTGTCCTTATTAATGCTTCTGGAAAGAAACTACAGAAGCATATGAGCATACTGAGATATTAATAAATAAAACAATTTTAAGCTTACTGTACTAGGTAATCTTTAAGAGGCATGTGATGACAGCCAGACTTTTGACTTCTGTTTTCAATGCTTCTTATTAGCTAGAGCTACTGTGGTTAAACAGGAGTCTTGTGTGTGTAAGTAGGTTAGTGACTTAAGTTGTTAAATGTTATTAGTCTAGGTCCAGTAATTTTTAACAGACATAGTTAAATGAGCAAGTTAATCCAACCATTACAGGCTGAGTAGGATTCACCCAGCTCGTAACAACGAAAGTATCCATGAGAGTAATTATACTATGATTTTTGATAACGTATGTGTATCTTTACAAAAGTTTTGCAGATTATTAGTAAACATTACAAGGCATTCAAATGCAAAATATCAGATTTTTTTTATTAAATTTTCAGATTCCTTGAGTATTGTTTTTATCAGGACTTTTTCTTTTCGAATATTGACTATCCAACATGCAAAGTAATTTTGATTTTAAGACTAAAAATAGTTTTATGCATCAGAGCATTTTCAAATTTCACATGCGAAATCTTTATAACCTCGAGATAATTATCAAATGTTTTTCTTAGAAAAAAAACTTTATATTTTATCTGTTATTTTCACTACTGTATCTCTGTATGGGTTGGGTCAATTTGACTGACCTCATAACCACCATAAAAAATTAGAAAATAAATACAAATTATGCTTTTTTTCATTTTAGAATGACTACAAATTATAACACAAAAACACAAATGTTTAATCTAAATATCTTAAATCTCATAACATTTATATATATATATATATTGTTTTTATTATATTGACCTTTCAGCTATGCCTGGCTAACATTACAGAAGTTGCAAGGATGTAGTGCACATGCACTCATGTTACCATATCCAAGAATATAAAACTGGCCTTTACAAAGTGACCTGTCTCAGCTGTGTTTTAGTCACATTTCAGTTATAACATATTATATATGTATGTATGTACATTATTACTATTTACAAATAAGTTCTTAAACGTATTTTTCTTAAAACATAGAACAGTAAATAAAAAAGTATAGCAAACAATTATCTCTTCTAGTTACAAACTTTGTACTCATTTGCTGCTTGCTGAAGGTTGCTAAGCCTTATCGAATTTTGCACAACATTTTTTTTAGGTTTTAAATATACATTTTGAAATAACAAAAACTTAAAAAGCCACTAGAAGAACATTCTGAGCTATCAAGTGGTTATTCACACATCACAGAAAGAAGTTGGTGTATGTGAGCATTTCCAAAAATGGAAAGAGGTGGGTGGGGACACTGTTTGATTCAGTAAATGTAGCGATATCTCAGCAAATAGAAAAGATGGGACTTTCTTATTTTAAATTCTAGCTTGTCAATATTGGTAATTTCAGTTCCTAATTTGTAAGAAACTATAGCCTTTGTATTTGGACATCACAAACATCTAATTTGAACCAATGCTGCATTCATCATACCATCTGACATACAAAAATAGATATTTAGAATTTCTTTTTAATATTTGCTTTTAACTTAAGACATTAATTAATGTGTGATGATAAAATTTGAATTATAATCTACAGTTTGATACCAAACTTATTGATATGCATTCATAAAATATTACTTGAATAAAATTTTGAATGTGAGTCAACAAACATGATGACATGGCCTTTGACCCATGACGTGTATCGATAGGGTTAATAAGCACATAAATAATAATAAATGTTAACTTCCTGTAACTTATTTATTAAACCAATCTTATCCTAAGTAGCACTGGTTATGTTTGTAGTTGTAATATGTAAGCAATACATTAGGTTAAAGCTACACTACTGTTCAGTACAAGCAAGGTAAACACTAACAACTGGCATCACTGTGAGTTATTATGTAACCAATGGCCACTAAGCCACATCTTCACATCTGGAAATTGTAGGAAAAAAAAAAAGTAAAACAAGCACTTGGTGTCATATAAAGTTATGCCAATAAAAGAAGTAACTTGTCATGTCACAGTTAATCCCATTATTCATTGCTTTGCTCAAAAAAAGAAGAAAAAAAAAGAGTACTTTAGATTAGATGATTATTGTTGTAAGACATGATACTAAATGATTAAGTTGAACAAACTTTAATTTATCAAAAATAATGAGTGGCATTATTTTGCCAGAGTGGCAATATTTTGATTGCTTGAATAGTTGGAATAATCAAAAACAGTAATAATCAAAAAGTTAATTTTGATAAGTTGATTATTTATGTTAGCTGTGACACTAACTGATTAAGCTGAACAAGCTTGAAGTAATCAAAAATAGTAGTGAGAAATCATAATTACATACTTAGA